ATCATATGTATTGTAAATATTAATACTTTCATAATTAGCACATCTAGTACATTAGCTTTATTTCTTCTTCTAGCTTTCTTATTTATTTATTTATGGTCATGTGTGGGTAGTCTATTGATGTAGAGGATATAAAATACAAGGCAGTAATGCTTGATTAAGTCTTGTCAGAACTTTATTGATTAGGCCAAAGTTCTTTGAGATATATCCATAATATCTATAAAGGTGTAAAATTTCAAAAGTGTGAAGATGCACACTGAACAGAATTGTAATTAGGATGTACTCTTGAACATAAATATAAAATGTAACACTTTTAAAATATTGTTAAATTTATTAAATTTTCATTTAATAATATATTTAATTACATATTATATTATGTATTAATAGAATATATAATTAATAAGTATACATGAACTTAATATTTTAATCATGCAATAAAATTAATATTTTATTATATTATGGGAGTACAAAGACTATCTTTCTCCCCTGGAGCCAATGGTGTTTCCAACTGCTGGCCTTTGGGTTATCAGTTTAAAGTGTAACCACTTCATCACCAGGGCATTAAAATGATGAATACAGACCAGATCTCAACTCCACTGTTAATCTAATGACATTGGTTAACATACTTCTCTTTGTTTCAAATTAAATTTCAAATCAAAATTAAAATTAAAATAATCTAATAAAATTAAAAATTTTAAATATTGTTACATTTGAATTTGTTAAAAATAAATGAAGCCCAGGCAGCTTTCATATATTTCATAGGAGAAGTCAACATGAGGCAACCCTACAGCATCGTGCACTTTAATATTGGTCTCTCCTACCATCTAATTTTTAAAGATTTGTGAAAAAGACCCTACACATTGTGATTCCTGGGATTTTATTAAATAGATATGAGTTAATTAACTATAGCTATTAATAGTATGATTGTGTTATAGGTACAAGTGAATTAAAAATAATAGGAAATGCCTTCTATCTCAGAGGTCGTCAAGATATTGCTACATCTGTAAATAAGAGGTATCTTGGGATGCTTGCCTTCTAAGTGTGAAATTTATCATGAAAGTCATTGAGAAACAGATGCCAGTTATATAACTCATGCAGGTAAGAAGATCTATTGTTTCTCTTTTATTTAAGCAAACTCTTAAAATTTCATTGAATGTCTCCAGTTTCTGAAGTAATAATCCTTATTGGTCAAACTGGAAGATTTTTTTTTTATGTTGAAAGCACCTAAAATGTCCAAAATGCATAAATTACCAGAGTATGCATCTACATGCCCTTTAATCCACTACCACTGTTTCTGGAGATGATTACAGATGCTATATATATAGATGATAGATTGATTGATAAATAGATATAGATAGATACCCATATATTAGACTTTATTAGACTACGTGTATCTCCTCTAAAACACACAATGACATCATAGCAGTTTGGTAATACCGCAAGGGTAGAAATCAGTAGTTGAGGACAGTGATTCTTTAGGCTAAGTATAACCTACACAGGCTTTTTGGTGGCTTTGTCAAACTACTCTATGAAAGGTCGCTCTTTGAAACAAAGAGAAGTATGTTAACCAATGTTATAAGGTTAACAGTGGAGTTGAGATCTGGTTTGTATTCATCATGTTAATGCCCTGGTGATGTAATGGTTACACTTTAAGCTGATAACCCAAAGGCCAGCAGTTGGAAACACCATTGGCTCCAGGGGAGAAAGATAGTCTTTGTATTCCCATAAAGAGCTAGTCTCAGAAACCCACAGGGGCATTTCTACTCCATTCAATAGAGTCCTCATGAGTTTGAATAATTGGTTTGGTCTGGAATTCAGAAAGCAGGAGTCGTGCTTCTAATGTCCACTTAAACTTCATACTCACCAATTAATTAATCACATGTAATTTTGTGCTCCAAAGAATTAGGAAGGAGTCTTTTGTATTACAGCTAGCTTTAAAATTACCTCACATTATACAAGATTATTGAAGTCCTTTCATCATTTCTTTCAAAGTTGACTCTTTTCATATTATTGGGTTAGATAAAATGAAAAGCAATATTCAAAAAATTTTAATCATTTGTGGCTTAATGATTATGAAATACTGCTTTCAACTTGATAGTTCATAGGAATAGACTATGTGAAAGGTTAGCATAGTCATTAAAATAATTTTGATCCATAAAAATATCCAATAAAATGCAGGCAGCCATCTAGCTAAGAAACAACAAAACCCACAAGGAAGAAGCACACCAGCCTACCCTGACACGAATGCTGAAGACAAAGCTGGTACATAAGCAAATGCGGTGAAGAAAGCTGATGGTGCCAAGCTGACAAATTACACAGAATCTGGGGTCCCACATGCTGGAAGATAAACAAGGGGCCATCTAATTGAGATACAACAAAGCCCACATGGAAGAAGCACACGAGCCTGTAATATGACAAGGCAGTGAAAGGGTCAGGTATCAAGCATCAAAGACCAAAAAAAAAAAAAAAATCATAACATTGTGAATGAGAGGAAGTGCAGAGTGGGGACCCAGGGCCCATCTGGGGGAAATTGGACATCCCTTGCAGAAGGGCTGAGGGAGGTGAGGAGCAAATCAGAGTGCAGTGTAGTAACGATGAAATATGCAATTTTTCTGTAGTTCTTAAATGCTTCCTCCACCCCACTACCATGATCCCAATTCTACCTTACATATCCGGCTGGACTGGAGGAGGTGCACTGGCACAGATAGGAACTGGAAATACAGTGAACCCAGGACATATGATCCCCCCAGGACCAGTGGAGAGAGTGGCGATGGCAGGAGGGTGGAGGGAAGGAGAGGGAGAAAGGGGGAAGAGAGGACAAGGTCTACATGTGACCTCCTCCCTGGGGGACAGACAGCGGAGAAGTGGGTGAGGGAGACGTTGGATGGGGTAAGATATGATAAAATAATAATACATTATAAATTATCAGGGGCTTGGGGGGAGGGGGGAGGGAGAAGGGAAGGGGAAAAATGAGCTGACACCAGGGGCTCAAGTGGAAAGCGGGTGTCATAAGAATGATGAAGTCAACATATGTACTAGAGTGCTGGACACAGATGATGTATGTACAGATTGTGATGAGTCATATGAGCCGCTAATAAAATGATTATTTAATTTTAAAAAATTGCATCATTGAGTCCATTGTGATTCACAGCCACCCCATAGGGCAAGGAAGAATTGCTCAGTGGGATTTCCAAGGCTATAATCTTTACAGAGTTGCACATCTTTCTCTCACAGGATCGCTGATGGGTCTAACCACAGACCTTCCGTTAGCAGCTGAATACTTTCATCACTGCACAAGCAGGGCTCTGATAAGACAGTCAAAAACCACAACTACTATTTCACTTTTTTTTCAACTGCACTACCACTCACCACATGGCAGTGTTCTGGGGCATGTTTACGTCCCAGCTAATATTCTGCGCAGAAGGGCAGCCCATCAAAGTCACTGCTGTGAAAAAAGGTGACAGTGATTGGAAGCCAAGATCAATGTTGGTGCCACTATTTCTTCCCACTTTAAAGACTGCCAATTGAAAAGTACTTCTCAGATATATTCACCAAAAAATGCTCTCAGTTCACATTTCTCTGCTGCCAAGTGTGTCCTACTATGTTAGCCTCAGGTCACAATGCAGCTGTGACAAATAGCTTTTCAAGACAAAGTTAATTATGTTGAAAATAATTCCAACGACCAAAAAGATCAATTACTTGAAAATTTGCAGCTCCAACTTTTACTCCATTTTGACAGAAAAGTTTTAGCTTTCTTAGTACATTAAAGATTCATTTTGTGTAATGTAATTATGATTACTGTTTTTAAAAGTATCCTACAAATCAAAGATAACAAATGTGCTGTTAATTCTTTTTTCTTATTTGCTGAAAGTTTCAGTTTTACACTCTGGCTCTTAGGTATTGTTGGAAATATGACTACCCAGTAAGAAAAGGAAAAACCCACTTGACATCAAAATCAAATTATCAAGTTGATAGGATTATTATATATTTTAATGGGATAGTGTTGGACAACTTTATTTTTGTCTTATAAAGCCCAGTGTGTATCAATATAAGGCAGCTTTTGAATCAGTATTTGAAATGTCGTTGAATGCTAGAACTTTTAAAACAAGCCTCAAAATTAACACATAGATATATTTATTTGTTAAAAGATATATGGATACCATGCAGAAAATGATATTTTTGCAGCAAATGGAACTTTCACAATTTAAATTAACCCCTATGATCTCACCATGCCTTTTGATACCTAAGAATACTACGAAATCAAATTATATTCCTGTCATTCTCTCTTGCAGATATACTGCAACATCAAGAAATGCTCCTTCATGTTATAAAATATAAGGTAAAAAATATGGATATAATTAGAGGAAAATCTCTGTCCTCTACTCAAACCAGTAAGAGATAATTTTCTTATCTTAAAATATTAATAACCCCAGTTACATCTGTGTCTTATAAACAAATTGTGCCTTTAACAGAGTAGTAAAAAAAACATCAGATTTTGTTACACCAGATGTTTTAATTGTTTAGATATTATAAAATAGCAAGAATACCCCATTATAAAAAATATATTTGTGTTCTTATTTCAAAAATCTAAGCAATGCAAATACAATTGTGGTGAAAGGTCTATACTGGTAAATAATGGAGTGAATATTTGTCAGTAACAGACGCAGATTTCCTAGCAATATTTGAATATTATAATTACAATCCTATACTTTGCAGTGGTTTGTTCTGGAGCTAAAAGAATGCAAGGCATTTTGCCAAACCATACAATTTACAATAGACATGCAACAAAAGTTTCTTATAATTTTTCACAGGACATCAATACTTTTTCATTCTCTTTTACTTTTGACCATTATCTCATGGAATCATAAGACAGGCAAACCTTCATAATTATCATCTAGTTGAAATCAGAATAAAACCATAAAACTTGTCTAATGCCTTTTTTATGCCCGAATGATTAGGTGGCAATAAAAGAATCAGATAAAGGATTATTCATTGTGTCTTACCTCTGTCACTGAAGTCATCCACCAGAATGATTTCTGCGATGAGACTCTCTGGAGTTCGGTTAATTATACTGTATATGGTCCGGAGGAGCGAAGTCCAACCTTCATTATGAAATGGGATAATGATGCTGGTGTTTGGCAGCCTTTCCAGGTACATCTTGTGCTTACAGCTGGAGATGACAGAAGGATAACATGGCTATGTCAAACACAAAACATAAGTACATTGCATACTGTTACCCACACATTATATTATCAGATAACTGAAAACATGACTTTGTCTAATCGGTCACCAAGCAGATCTATAGATAATACTCTTTTCATTCAAGAAACTTCTTAGTGATCTATTTAACACTCACTTGAAATAATTGTTTACATATGTTATACCAGAAGCCATGTAAGAAGTGCACTGAAATGTCTAATAGAAATAGGCTACATTATATGGGCAAATATTGTTTCTGTTGAGCACATCATTAAGGTTTTAGATGAATTTTCTGAATCCTTGGAAATTTAGTAAGTTGTAAAATGTTTCAGTGATTAGCTAGTTTTAAGGGGGTCCGAGAAAAGCTTGCACTGGAAAGAAATAAATATTTCATCCCAAATTATCCTATGCTGAATGCAATCCCCTAACAAGAATCTGTCTATTAAGTTCAAGTGAAGATCATATCACATTTTGTACAAAAACTCTACCAAGAGAATTAATACATTGCTATTTTTCATTGTGAAATAACCCAAGATGTGACAGAGAACTAGCATTACTTTCTGTATATTTTTAAAGCAATTTACCACAGCAATTGCTCTTTTTATGTATTGCATTCGTTCTTTAATTAGTTTATAAGCAGTATGAGGGCAGGAAGTTGCATATTGCCTTGAATTCTTAGCTCTGCCTCTTCATGTCAGAGTTGTCTATGATTGAATGAGGATGACAAATCCATTTAAGGTTGTGAACAACATGAGCTATTTCAAATCAAAAACTGGGTAACGTTCCGGTCAACTACAAAATTCATGGATTCTCTTGGTGTAGCTTGAAGACAAACAAGAAGTTGGACATCTGGATATACAGGCAGGGAGGCCTAGCTTTGGAGCAGCTGATAGGTCATTGTTTGCCTGCATACTGATTCCAATCTGATCTAGATGGTAAAATTAACTTAAATTTGATTTTGAACTGTACATGTGTTACAAACATGTAACGGATTTTGTTCAGAATATTCAAATTCCTATATCTTTCAAATCAGTTGCTTTCACACTTAATTTTACTATGCTTCCAATCCAACAACAAAACAAACCCACTGTTAACAACTTCAATCTGACTCATACTATCACTGTAGAGGATTTCTGATGCGGCACGTTAGCAGTCCATGATCCCCAGGGCGAAGCCAACCCAAACCAAGCTCATGGTCATCAAGTCAGTACAGGACAGGGAAGAAACATCCCTGTGTCCCCCAGGCTGTGCAGCTTCGGAGGAGAAGAAAGCACTGTCTTCTCCTGGGGAGTGGATGGTGGTTTTGAATAAATGACCTTTCTATTAACAGCCCAGTGCTAAATACTACTCCAGCAGGGCGACGTTGGCTCTGTAAAAATCCAACTCTTACCCACGAAATATTGCAGTTGATCTGAACAAGGTAAGTTACAGGGTGGGGCAACAAATATAACATTTTGTAATAAAACTAGCAAGTTTTACTTTTTTTCTGTGAAAGAAATAAAATATTTCAGATAAAAATACTTAAGATATTAGCATAAATATTTTATTTTTTAACCTGCCCATTTATGACTTTTTAATTTCATAATAGTTATGAAGAGTTCATCTTAAAAATGCCTCTCTTACATGTCTATAAATACATATATATGTATATATATATTCCTTGTTTGCTGTTACTGTTCAAGTTGACTCTAACACATAGTAACCTTATTGCATAACAGAAGGAAATATTTCCTGTTACTATAGGAACCTCACGATACTTATTGGCTTGAAACCATTGTTGCAGCCACCCCGTCATTCCAACTCATGGAAGAGCTTCCTCGTTTCAGTGACCCACTGCTTTGTCTAGCGGTGGTGGGCTTTCTTTCCCGGCAACGTGCCCAACCTCACCTCTAAGGCGTATTCTGGTGGTACTTCCTCAAAAATTAAGGTGACCAGACGTCCCGCTTTGGGCGGGACAGACCTGAGTTTTAACAATTTGTCCCGGGCGTTTTAAAAAAGTCCTGATTTTTGGAAAGAATGCACAACAAGCTAGGGAACGGCGGGAGAACAGGAAGGGAAGAATATACGGTTTGGGGATGCCATGTGGCTATTTCGCCAGGATATGAGTTTTATATTATTTTTGTTAATTTTATAATGTTAAACTTTAATGACAAATAATTGTTGAGACTGATTATCGAGAACTGATTATCAAAGTTCGCATTGTTATCAGTTGTTAGAATTTGACCACTATTGTTTGGACTAAATGAACAATGGCATTTTTTGGCATTGTCAATGACGAAAACATTTTGTAACTGTCTCTCAGACGATACACATCATACTGCGTGCTAGTGCTAGTTAAACAAGTGATGTCAACAAATCAGCTATTCAGATAATTTAGGTAAGTAATTATTTATTTCATAAATACATTCATTTTTCTTGAATTTAGCAGACAGTACTGGAATGATGTTCAAAAATCACTGGATCATATTACTCAAAATTTCCCATATAGTAATATTTCTGAAAATGATCTTTTTAATGAGGTATTATTAAAAATATATTGATAAGCAAAAGGTTAAATCTTGGGCATCAGCAAAAATCACAATAGAGAACAAATGGTTAGAAATATTTCATCATTTTGAAACAAACCATGTTCCATACAATGATGCACTAAAAATTGTGGAATGCGCACTGTCCTTACCAGGAACTAATGCTGTTAACTGAACGTGCTTTTTCTACGGTAATTAAAGTGTGGACATAGAACAATTCATAATTAAGTGTTGACACTTTGAAAGCCATTTTATGTGTGAAATACAAGTTAACAAATTCTTGTGAAAAATTTCATGACCTTTTAAACAACAGCAATCTACTAAAAAAAGTCACTCAAATGAGAAATGCCAAAGAATAAAATACCATACATAATTTTCAATGTATTATATTTGTAAATTGTACTTATGTTGAAATTTAAAAAATATGTTACAGTACTATTTTTGCATTCTATGAAAATTTTTGCTGCTCCATATAGACCAAATTTTCACTCTAGTTTGTAAACCAACCACTTCATGCCTTTCTCTCTCCCAATTTTGGGTATCCAATTTATATACTGCCCACTTACATCAACCCAGTTCTCAGAGAACACAATCATGTTTTTTGACATGAAGAATCTTCATTCCAGTTGGAACCTTGTGAACTCTGTATTCATAAGCAAAGTCAAATCCAGACAGACTATCCAGGAAGTCATCAACAATATGCACCAGTTCACAGGCTCAAAAATCTCCAGCTGGTCGGGTTCTGGTCAGCTCAATATGGGCTGCCTCACTCAGCCTCCACAGGGTGCCCATTGGTCACCTTGCCTTTAGACCATGGGCTCTCACCTACTCAATAAGCCTGGCCCTCTCATGGTAGGTCATGAACTTTAGACCAGTCAACCCACTTTCATCTTCCCCTCTTTGTCCTGTAAACCAAGTCCACAGGTATCAGTGGTCAAACTCAACCCGTCTCTTTATTGCTGCATTTCTCCCACTTCCACTCAACAAGTAGATCCAGGTGGTCACCTAGCAAGCATTTCAGCCTGCTCACAGGCTCCCTTTAACATTCAGTCCCAGAGAGGAGTTTTCTTCATAGTTGTAGATTTTTTTCCATCTTTTGACAAAGACTACTGGTTCCAGAGTACTCCAAATTACTGGGTGGGGCATATATTTTCAAAGCTCTCTTTGCAGGCATGGCCTAAACCCATCTAAAGATCAAATTTTCATGGCTCAGAGCAAGTGGGCTTACAAACTTTCTATTTTCCCACTTCCCATATTTCCCAGAAAACAACCGAGTAAAATGTGGCTTTATCTGACCTCTGGCTAGACAAAGAAAAACTTCCATGAGGGAGAGGTCAAACAAACATCTACTCTCCGTCTTAAGATTTGTTTCTCCAGTACCCCACTCCCAACGTACCGGAATGTATTAGTCTGGGTATTTTACAGAAGCAAATCCACAGAAAACCATGAATAAGAGAGTTTTATATAAAGGTTAAGTTTGCATCAGGAAAACATCCCAACCCAGTGCTGCCCAAACCCACAAGTCCAACATTAACTCATAAACCCATATGTCCAAAACCAGTCCACAAAGTCATCCTCTAACTCACAAAACAGACACAATGATGCCGACTGCAGGAGGAAAGCTGAGTCAGTGAATGTGTAAGCATCTCAGCGCTGGCAGGAGTCTCCAGCACCCAGGGCTGCACCACGGTAGGTCCACGTGCCTTTTCCTTGCAGGGATGTCTTGCAGGAAGTCAGCCTTGCCAGCTGAAGCAGGGAACTGCTAAGGCAGCTGCACCCTGGTACGACCATCACAAAGCAAGAGACCCGAGAACTAGAAAGGCAAGGATCACCGAGCCATTTACCCCTCTGCCCTTTAATTGACCCCACATGTGTTTATTGGCCAGGTTGGCACAATAAACTAATGAACTTACCATCATAATTTCTGTTTATGTCTATTTTCCATTTGCCTTTTCAATTTTCTTTTTTATTTTCCACTCTTTTCTGTAGTTTTCCTCTTGTAGTCTCTGTACATAAACCATAGCCTCCCATGCCAAAAAGAAAAACCCACTGCCATCTAATCAATGTCAATCAGAGAAAAATTGCCCCTTTGGGTTTCCTAATCTTGCATTATGTTAAAGCTTCAGAGGGCCGAGTGGGTTTGAATCACTGACCATATGATTGCCAACTCAATGTGTAAATAATTAGCCATCAGGGGTCCATATACAGCTTCTGTTGAGTTATCTAAATACTTAATTCTTTTTCAAGTTTTCTTACTTCTTTTGCCTTAGCCTGTAATTTTGGGGTCTGAATTCTTCTTAAATAGAAAACTAGAATGATAAATTAATACATTTATATAATTTAATATTTGAAAATAGAGTGCTACACTGTACCTACACTGATGCAGCCTATCTAATGCAATTTCTCTGAATCAGTGCCCTGAATCACCCCTGATAAGGCCTGACAA